ACAAAAGCATTTTATCACCTGGCCAAATACAGGGTCTTTCAAACCCATTAATTGTATTTATAGCTACTGCACTTTTCAAAACTGCCGATGATAACAGTTTGGCCATATCATTCCCACAGTGGTCCGTATAGTTCAATTAAGAAGTGTTGCTATTGTGCTCCGATTAATTGTATCAATATGTGAGTAAAACAGGGTCTACATCAACAAAATTCGAAACAAGTGTGGATAATAGTGAGCCCCTTATACATAGACAATTCTAGAAAGGTATGATGAATAACCTCCTCGTAAACTGAATTAAATATAAACCGTGGACTACGTATGAAAAATTAATCCGAACAAATTTGGAAATTCTGAAAGCATTGCAACGAAGATATGACAACCGATTTATCAAACAAAGAGTTAAGAAAATCTATATATCACAGGATCGTCATCTGAAATAACACAGCGAAGAAGAGTTTCGCAAAAATATAGATTCAATCACCTCAAGAAAACGACATTCAGAAAAAGAACAGCAAACCAATAAAACACAGGAATCTCTAAAAGGAATAGAAATAAAGGAAGCAGAAAGGAAACCAAATACACCCCACAAAGCGAGGGTTCTTCGCAATCAAAAGTGAACTCCTAATTTAACTGGATTACTCTCACCGTTCCTCAATAAACTCATCATTTCTTTATTCTTATCAGTGAAACACGATAATGTTTTTAACTTTTTCACATTATGAACCAATTAAAAAAAACAAGGATAATAATAATAATAATATGTTTATTTACCAGCAGAGTTGGTTTTCGAAAAATAAGTTTTTAAAAAGTTTATTTTATTGAAAAACACGTGTTACAATAAAGAGGTATCAAGTCAGACTGAATATAAAAATGAAAATACCATAGGAATAAAAATGAAAGTTCATCTTCGTCAGCGGTGTCGAGTATCGCTGACCCACCATGTCAAATTTCCTCGATTTTATTGTGTCGGTCAGTGCTATATTGAGTTAAAAATCCGTACGCAAGATTTATTACATGCGATAGTTAATGTTTCTCGTAATTTTGCTCTTGAATATTTTGTTGTGGTAATATGATAGTACCTTCGCACTATACTACTGGTAAAAGACGTGTTTATTATTCGTTTCGTGGTAAAAAATGGGTAACGTTGCGAATGCAGAAATAAGATTTGAGCTAATGAAATCTAATTGTGCTTGCATTAATTTCAAATTATCTAAACCAATTAGTTCATCAAAAACTTTGTGAAATTTGAATAGATACAATTTCAAATGGGAGCGTTGAATTCTGGAAAACTAGGAATTTCGGCACAAAATTCTTGACAATAATTTTGAAAAATTGAAGTTACTACAAATGGCTCGTGTTTTATGCAATTTTTGAAAAATTTAAAAGCCACTTCAGGGCTGAGAAATGATTTTGTGGAGCCTGTATCAATCAAAAGTTTCAAAGGTGGATTGCTTATAATTATGTAAGGCAGTTCTTTCTTATCGGTGAAGCTGTGTAGTTCTACTACGTTCCTGGCATTTTGTTGTCGTCCTCGGGAAAATTTTCTTCTTCGTGCTTCAACATTTCTTCATTCATGAAATCTTCAGCACATGCTTCTTGATATTCTTCGTTGTAGTATCCACCGTATTCTTCGGGTATTTCGCAATTATAAACTTGTTCTTGATGTTCAACATTGAAAAGTTCTTCGGACGTGAAAGTTGGACGAGAAGTTTGAGGCCTAAAATGATTTTGTTGGTGGGTATTTCGTGTAGAAATACTCATTGGTACTGGATCTTGTCTGTACGATGGTTTTTGATTATTTTTCGGCTCCCAAACATTTTGTTGTTTTCCGAAAACTTGCTGATTGGTCGGGAAACGTCGTGGTGGTAAATTGACTCGAGGTGGTAGGTTAATCGGTCCAGTTGGGAATTGGGGTCTGGTATAGGCTGGCTGGGAAGGCCACACTGGGCGTTGAAATTGTTGAAATTGAGACGGGGGTACCATTCGTCGCTGTGTATATCTTTGGGGTGGTAATGGTCTTCTAACGGGTGATGAAACTTCTGGAGCAAGACTTTTCTGTAGATAACGGATGTTATTTTCTTCCTGAATGTATTGCATCGCTGTGGCCAAAGAATTTGGACGCATTGCTCTTATCGTCGATCCTAAAGGCTCCTTCAAAACGGCCAAGAAGGTAGTTAAGGCTTGTTGTCTGAATAATTCGTTTTCTCTACATCGTTGTCATTATGAATGTCGATATAATTGCAGATCACACTCAGTAAGCCCATGCACTTTTCATAAAATCGTGAAGGTGTTTCATTTGATTACCTTAAATTCACTAGGTCCCGTGTTAATGCATTATCGTCTCTTTGGTCTCCAAAATGTTGAATAAGGACATTTTTGATTTGATCCCAAGTGTTACATCCATATACAGAAACGACTTCTTTTGCTTTTCCTGTTAACTTTCTGAGAATACCATACATGAGCAGTTTATTCTAGATGCAGTTGATATTGGCAGGTGTTGGATCAAAATAATGGTTGAGAAGAGTAGCTGATATATTTAAGAATTCGTGAAGGCTGTTGGGATTCCCATCGAACTCCGGAACTACGCACAAAATCTTGATGTCAAAGTTTGGTCTTGCCATTATTATTAAATTACTATTATCAATATTCAACGGTATATTTGATTCACTGTGGTTCTGATTCGATGTATTTTCAATACATAAATTCGCAATAAGATCACTTAAGTCTAGCTCTGCACCAGGGTCAATAAATTTACTAGGAACGGAGGTATCTGACATTAATACTCACAGAAGGATGATGATGGCTTGATGCATTCCCAAAGATCTGCTTTCTTCCTTTGGTCCTTGGAGGGTAGTCGTGATGCTGCCGACAAGGAATCGTTTGTTTCGGATCGCGAATAAACGTTCAAAAAATAAGTTTTTGGAAAAGTTTATTCTATTCAAAAACACGTGTTACAATAAGGAGATATCAAGTCAGACTGAATATAAAAATGAAAATTCTCATAGGAATAAAAATGCAAGTTCATCTTCGTCAGCGGTGTCGAGTATCGCAGACCCATCATGAACCTTGTCGATTCTCCGTGGATTCAGATTGTAACTAGCAATAGAAAGAGTTTCCAATACATCATATGCCATTTCAGATAGAATACAAAAAAAAGAAACAATCAATTAAATGGAATGCCCTAGATATAAGTAATAAACATCGAGAGAGCCCAATGAAACCCTAAGGTTTTGCATGGGAATTCTTTACTTATTGTGTTACCAAATAACCTTCGAACAGTATGTCAGTGTAAGAATTTACAATATTCACAATATTCTGGACCTAAGAAAAAGTAAATGACAATGAGAGGAGAATCGAAAATTCAGTTCATTTCTATAGCGATGAAAGTAGGGAAATTTGGATAAGTTATTTGTTATCAATTATATTTAATATGATTTCATGATCTACATTGAGGAGATACTTTTTGAATGTATTTTTTATTAATGGTATCGAGTTGACTTCCATTAGCTTTTTTTTATGCATATCATCTAGAAAGTTATAAAGTTTAGTTGCTAAAAAACTGAAACAACGTTGTCCTTCCGATTTTTTTCATGTCTGTATTCGTACCAACATTTTTGTTTTCTTATGGTATAATTATGCTCTAACTGTTGAAGGGTGTATTTATTTTTACTTTTGAAAATTGCTATGGTCAATTTATGCGGGCAAATAATTTACATTGTTGTTTTCTAGAAACTAAGTTCGATAAAATCCTACTACTTATTCCTAGTATTCAAATCTACTTATGCCGATCCTATCCTTTTAATTGTTGTTTCGAATTAGTCGTTCCGAAATATATTCAAGGAGAGGAGCAGAGAGACAGACTACGACAGAGAGAGACTACGACATTGCCACTTTTTCCCTGATACATAATGGTGTTTTCAGATTTGCTATCCGACGTTTCGTCTTCGGGCCAGCATCATTAATTTTATTTTTTCTTATGCGCGCTTCATTGGATTTTTTCTGTATAGCGGTAATCAGATCTAAAGTTGGAACTTTTTTTGGAGCAACTGCAAAGTTCAATCCTTTTGCTAATACGAGTTTTTCGTTCATATCCAATTCTCTAGAGGACAGATATACCACCGTTTTTTCGACAAATGATTGATTATTTCGATTACAAAAAAAACGTTTTTGTTTCTCGTCAAATAGATTTTGAAATTTTTTAATGTGGATTTTATTTATGGTGTGTAGAAATGAATATAAGATTTCTGAATGCAATCACAGAGGTAATTATAACCAGACTTAAGGCAAGCGCACACTACAGACTTTTCATCGGCCGATAATTTAGTTGGATGCTTATTAGTATAGAATCGTAATCAAATATTATCTAGTACCTACTTTATCATTGAATATATTTTCGTTTTCATTACATTAATTTTTTTTTTTTATAATTATGTCGAATATTTCCGAATGTTCATTAGAAAATTCAATTGCGGAAGTTGTGCGCACACAGTTGTATCTTGTTTCATAATTGATGGTCCGACTAGTCTAACAAGTTCAATGAAGCTGGTTATGCTTTTCATTCTATAGTAAGCGAAGAATATTTTTGGATATTCCACCAGCTTAGGATGGAGCGTGTAGAACATCCTTGAACTAACCTATCACTTAAAATAGGGTGCACCCACCATTCACGGTTTCTTTTGCTTGTTTTATTCATATTTCTTTTTTGTGCAATGATAATTGCAATTCTGCATTCTTCAATACATTCAATCCAACGCGTAAAAATATGATATGCATCAACAACTGTTCAGACTTTTCAGTTGGTGGTCTGCGCACCCGCACTCAGTATATAATATTTCATCCTCCCCAAAAAAATGTTTAAAGATTATTTGCCAAATTTATTATTTCAATCATATCAGCTGACGAGTTATATCAGTTTGATAGTAGTTAGATATCACTGAATGGAGTGAATTCCAACTATGATGTGAAAAAAAATTCGATATTCAACCTCGATTCCTTTTCAGGTTGTGAAAGTTGAACCTCTGGTAACAATGGGCCAACTAACAGCCACATTGAATCCAATGGGCTGGACAATTCCAGTTTTGCCAGAAATAGATGATCTAACGGTAGGTGGACTAGTAATGGGAACTGGAGTAGAGTCATCGTCTCACATCTACGGTCTGTTCCAAAATATATGTTTGTCATACGAACTGGTTTTGTGTGATGGAACCGTAGTGAGGTGCTCCAAGGAAGAGAATTCCGATCTCTTCTGGTCAGTACCTTGGTCTTACGGCACGCTCGGTATACTGACGGCAGTGGAAATTAAAATGATCCCGGCTAAAAAGTACGTTAAACTACTCTACGAACCTATGAATGGACTGAAGAATATCGTCAAGAGATTAGGAGAGGTCAGCAGAAATCCACTGAATGAGTTTGTCGAGGCTTTGAGCTACAGCGAAGATGAGGCTATCATAATGACCGGTAAACAGACTGATGAAGCAGAACCAGGAAAGGTATGAAATGCTCGTGGTTTCAAAAATATCAAGTTATTTGAAACCATGTTTTTACGAAACCTTCGTCTCGTCAACTGAATGTTTTGTACTCGGGAGTCATTACTAATTTTACAAGAATCACTGGTTTTCCATTTATCTGAATTTGTTTCATTCCCAGTCTCGTGTTAGCATGTTAACATACCTTCGTTGAAGAAATTTGATCCTAATTGTATCTGAGGGTTTATTCATGCACCAGTTTTAGGTCGCGTCGTACCAAATCATTAGAAATTAGGTCATCAATTTACAGTGGCAATATTCTTGCATGAACATAGATGTTATTTTATATAAATTCACACATACTGTTCGAGTTGTGAGTTTTCAATAATCTCAACTAGATTTTCACGTACCGAGACGAAGAAGTAGAAACAGAATATTTTTCTATTTGCCATTGCCTAGGATCAATGTGTTAATAAAATCCCCAGTTTATAACATCTGTAAATTTTTTAATAGTTTCTATTCAGAATGTAATATTTTTGTTGTTCCATTTGGACGCTTCAAGTATAGGATTCGTTACAAACTATTTTTTATGCAAGTCGAACTACAATCTAATTACAACCCATAAGTGAAATTCTGTGTTTCAACTCTCTGCACACTACCAATTCTATTAGAATTCTACAGTATATGTTTTTCTTTTTTTATTATTATATGAATATATCACTGTTTGTATAATATACTACTCTATTACTATGCTGATTTTATATAATTTTCGTTATATTCCATTGTACTCATACTTAGTCATAGCTGTGAACTCAATTATATTTGTCTTGTAATTGGGATTACTTCTGTTAGACAATAAACCTTTTTTTTTAAAGTATGAATTCTCACAAGTGACATGCGACTTAAGACTGAATCGTGAATCCACCCTAAGTAACATTATCAACAAGTAACAGTCTGAATGTTATTTTTTTAATTGCTATGGAAACTGAAATATCAAAAGTTTGCCTATACCTGTACGTCGCAGCGTTTGCTGCGAAAACTATTGATGATACATACAGTAATATTCTATATGTGAATAGTAGGTACTCATCATTGATCACAAAAAAGTTGAGTAAGCTATATGTTTACCTATAGTTGAGTTACAAAAGTTGAATGATATTGAAATCATAATTCTCATTCCACTAAATAGTTTCATATTCAAGTTCGAATATGTATATTTGAATGCCTCTTTAAATTATTCGAATTAGACATTTTGTTGAAAAGTTACGACGCGACGGGTAAGAAAAGCCGCTGTTCAAGAAACGTGTTGGTACCAAATATTGTATATATATATATATATATATATCTTTATATATATATATATATATATATATATATATATATATATATATATATATATATATATATATATATATATATATATATATATATATATACAGGGTGTTTGGCAGCTGGGTGCAAACCTTTAAGGGGGTGATACACTAGCCCATGTAGAACATATTCATACAAACATTTTTATTTTCTAGCGCATTTTTGATTTTTAAGGGAACTTTTACGATTTTCAGTACAAAAACCCAAAACAATTTGCCAATTTGTCAGTGGTGGTGGTTTGACCAATCAACCGACAACAATATGAAAATGATCAAAAAGTACTTATCTATTTATCTTTTGATTTTTATGGAATTATTTTCTGACTGACATAGTGATCTATCAACGCACAGCCCAAACCACTGAACGGATCGGGCTGAAATTTGGCATGCTGGTAGATGTTATGACGTAGGCAATCGCTAAGAAAGGATTTTGATAAATTCCACTCCTAAGGGGATAAAATAAGAGATGATGGAGGATGTAAATGTATTAGTTAGAACATACCAGTACCTAATGGAACCAATAAATTAGGACCAACAAAATAATTTTTAGTTCTGAATTTTGACAATAGATGGCGTTAGTAGTATTTTAAAACGCGCTATCGTTGTGTTTTCAATAAGTTACATATATCCGATGATGAGTGGCCGCCGTATTTAATAGTACATACTATACCTAAAAATTCCTAGCGGATTACATTTTACGATTCTGGCTGTTCTTTTCTTGGCATATTTTGGATTGCATTTGCTTTGTTTTAGTTTAGTAGTTTTGGTTATAGACTCTGCTTTGTATTTGGCATGGCTTCTGGTTAATGATTCTCACCCAAATCATGTACACTTCATGGATAATATCCAAAACATAATGCCTGTTTTCAAATGACTTCCTTTGGTGGAAAACAAATAAAAGAAGGCGGTTTTCCACCAACTTTCAAAGTTCATGGGAGTATATTACCGGAACCTGGTCAGGATGCACAATTTCTGCAAATTTATTTCGTCGGTGAAGATGATGGAGAAGCTTATATTCGATGTTCTAAAGTTCCTGATTTGAGACCAAATTCTGTCAAACAATTGCAGCTTATGTTACATGAGGTGAACCCATACATAAAAGATCTAAAAACAGCCATTGATTAAATATCGCCTTCAGAGTCATTCAAGGTCATTCACTTCAGCGTATCAGTGAGATACATCGAGCTCATTACGCGCTGCAGTACCCGTTGATGTTTTGCTGGGGGATGATGGCTATTCAATCAACATACCACAATGCGATCCCACAACTAAGTTGCCCTTGAAAAAAAACAGTCTCTGCTGTAAGTTTTTATTCATACAGAATAATGATCGATGAAAGAGAAGATAACTTTTTGGTTGAATATCGCGCTCTTTTTAGTCAATATTTGGTAGATGAATACGTAAAAATGGAAACTGAAAGACTAAACTACATAAAAAAACAATCAAGCCAAATTGCGCTTAGATAATTATATTCATTTAGAAGATGCAATTGGACGGCAAGATACTGAAGCAAATCAGCTGGGACAAATCCATCATCTTTTACTGGTGGACCAAGATACATGCACGATACATGGAAATATTCGGTGAAGTGAGATGCTATATGTATTCGACGGAATGGCAAAAGCGAGGTCTTCCGCATATTCATATACTTTTATGGCTTCAACATCGCATCACTCCGGATCAAATTGACAATATTATTTATGCTGAAATGCCTAACCCCGATCGTGATCCATAGCTTTACGAAATTGTTAAAAGTAATATGATACATGTCCCCTGTGGAAGTTTAAACCGAAATTCTCCATGCATGAAAGATAATTTGTGCAGCAAACTTTATCCTAAGGCTCTTATTAAGGAAACTCAAACCGGTGATGATGGTTATCCGCAGTACAGGAGACGTTCTCTGGATGATTTTCCATTGTTTGATGGAATGATAACCATCCCGGAAGAATTGTGCACAGTTGTAACTACGGTTCAAGAATTGCTGTCTAAAGTTTATCCAGACATTATTCATATACATGACGAGCCTATTGAATGGTTATGTGAGCGTGCCATACTCCAAAGAACGATCAAGCAGCAGCTATCAACGATATCCTGCTCATGTCGTTTGAGTGCGAAGAAAAGATCTATACTTCGATTGATACTGTTGTTAATACAGATGATGCTAATAATCACCCTGTAGCATTTTTAAATTCATTGAAATCGCCAGGTTTGCCTTGTCATAAGTTCATTCTGCGTGTGGGCAGTCTAATTATGTGAGAAATTTAAAACCACCAAAACTTTGTAACGGTACGAGACTGCAAGTGAAAGCGTTACATCGCAATATAGTGGGAGTCATTATATTAACTGGGTGTGCGAAAGGGGGAACTGTATATATACCACAAATCCCAATAATACCTAATGATATCTCGTTCGAATTTAAACGATTACAGTTTCCCCTAAAAGTTTGCTTTTCCATGACAACAAACAAATCTCAGAGGCAAACTCTCAAATTTGCAGGTATTGACTTGAGAGAACATTACTTCTCTCATGGACAGTTTTATGTTGCTTGCTCACGAGTAAGTTCACCCAATAGCTTGATAGTTTCAGCGCCTAATGACAGATTAGTTAAGAATATTGTGTACAAAGAAGTTTTGTAGGCCCTAATTTTTTACATACGCTAAACGAAAATAAAGTCGCACAAACTATACCTGATTAATAATAATACTTCTTAACGCGAGCGAAGTCGCGGGCAAAAGCTAGTTTGACCAATATATACTTTAGGACAAATTCCACAATTTGATTTACATACTCCTGATTTCTTGAATTTAGATGTTTTGTTGTTATTATTTTTGGCTAACTTTCCCAACGTATCACCTGCTCTATATTACTTGAATTTAAATAGCCCTCAGCACAACTTCGTGATGTGATAACACTAATTAATTTACTTCTCATTAAGGATTTTTTTCTATTTATTAATACTTTATAGTTTTGGAAATATTTGCATAAACCTAAATACTTTTTTTACATCCTAATTTGTTCATAACTCTTGCAATTTTCATGTGCTAAAACGGTTTCAGCACACTTTCCACCTGTGTGAAGTTAGCAGCCGAAGTCAGTGAACCTTTTTCTGGAAATACCCTCCATATTTCAAGGATTTTTTTTGTTTCGGGAGGATAGAAATCATTCGTAATAATTTCAAAGTGGCTTTCCGTTTCTTTCATATTTCAAGAATGGTGGTGCATGTGCAATGGTGCATGTGAAGTCAGTAGCCCGGAAATACCCGAATGGTCAGTGACGTGACGAAATCGTGATTTAATATTTTTTTGGGTATCTGATATGCCCACATGTGAAAGTATACAGCTGAACTGTATAATCTGTATCAAGAAATATGTCTTCGGACTCGTCCAAAAAGGTTAAACACACCCTCGAAATGAAAAAAAAAACTTAAAATATGAAGATAACGAAACGCCATTTTGAAATTTATTCGAACGATTTCTATTATTACATTTCATATACAGTATGAAGAAAAATCTCTTTGGCTCCGTCCAAGAAAGTTAATCACATCCCCGAAATGAAAAAAAAATTTTGAAATATAAAGGAAACGGAAAACAACTCTGAATTTGTCATGAATGATTTTCATCATCACATCACACAGTAGGTATCGAAGAAAATATCTTCGGCCCCATCCAAGAGGATCAAATACACCCCCGAAATGAAAAAAATCTTGAGAAATGGAGGAATTGAAAAGCCACCTTGAAATCATCATGAATGATTTCTATCGTTACATTTTTTATTCTGTATCAACTAAATTATCTTCGGCTCCTCCCGAGAGGAAAATGATAATATCAGTGGTGGAATTTACAGGATTCAGGTTCACCAATGGGCTCACCCTTTAGTCCACTTTTAGCAGACATATAGAGAGAGAGAAACAGATAAATTCCTTAGACCTGACCATTACACACAATCAGAATAAATTTGAGTTCAATGTGTCCCAAGCGATTCTTTCCATCCAGGCAGTCATAAATTAGCAGCCTACAATTCAATGTTGCATAGACCATTCTCACTGCCTTTATCTGCTAACAATCTAGCTCGGGAAATTGATATAATTACACAGATAGGTTATAATAATGGTTTCAACGCAGATACTATCCAGAAGTTAGTCATAAAACAAAGCCGTAAATTTACTTACAGATTAATATACCCTCAGGTCAAACAACCAGAAATCAAGAAATGGGTAACTCTAACATATTTTGGAAAAAGAACAGAGATAATTGCTGGTTTTTTCAGAAAAAAACAATGTGGGAGTGGCATTCAGACCACATGCCTTTTCAATGTCAAAAATAAGGTAGACAAGATGTGGAAATCTGGAGTTTATACGCTTAAGTGTCCGGAGTGTAATAGTGTTTATGTGGGACAATGTGGTCGAAATTTCCAAAAACGGTATGCTGAACATGAAAGGTTCTTCGGACTAGGATAAAAATGATTCCAAGTTTTCAAACCATTCCTTGGCATGCAATCACAAGTTTCCGAATCTGAACGATACGGAAATTTTGCACTATGCAAGGAAGGGTTACAAACTCAATTATTGAGAATCCTTGGAAATTCACAAGCATAAACATCGCGGGTTCAATCTGTTAAATGATCGAATCGATGTAGTTTACTCACCGGTTTTCAAGTTGGCACATCCACATTGTAAACTGTGAATTCAGGTACTCAATCAAGCCAAGTACCTCTCTTAGTAGGGGTGGTATATAAGAGCAAATGTAATGAACCATTGTTAACTTATTGTATAAGTTTGGCTCATACAAGCTAATAAGGCTGATGTAATCCTTCTCGACCACCAGAATAAGACGATATTTGTCGTGGAGTTTTCAGCTCCTGGCGAGACGAACATCGTTCGAAAAGGGGAGGAAAAACGGATAAAATATCGAATCTTCTCTTTGAACTCCGCAGACTCTTTCCAGACTGTGATGGTTTTTCTGATTATTGGAGTCTTTGGTGGAATGATACCCTCTCTACTCTCGAACCTCAAAATCATACCGGCTTGTCGCGCTAAGGCAGATATCTCAGCAGGACAGATGCAGGAGGCTGTCATTCTTGGCTCACTGCGCGTGCTCAGGGCACATGATTCTCTGGCCCAATGATCACTTACTGCACGGTGGGGAGGGTCGTTGGTTGATAATGCTGACGCGCCTGACCAGCGCATACCACGGTAAAAAAAAAGAAGTGAAAAATGGCTTGATCACTTTATATGATTTTTGTGTTTTTGGATTCGTTTTCATCGGGAATAGGATAATTTCATTAGTTCGGACTCACATTGTCTAATATTATATAAAATGATTTGAAATACGTGAAAGAAACAATACAAATGAAAAAATAAAAACAATTGCTGAAAATAACAATTATATTGAGCAAAAAAACCTTGAAGTGAAATTACAGTGAAATAAAATACAAGTAAAGAATAGAACAACTAAACAAAAACTGAAAATCGAAAATTAAGAGATTCCAAGCCAAGTCACCTCACGATGTTTCGATTGTTAGTATCCACAATCGTCTTCAGGTGATGACTGTTATTCCACTATAATTTCAGCTTTTTTTTGCTTAATATAATTGTTGTCCCACCACCCGAAACTCTATCTCTGTTATTTATAACTAGTGATGTGAAGTCTCATGGACAAATTCGAAATGGAAATCAAAAAAACGTCGAAGCATTTCCCTAGGATATGGCTGAAGTATATATATAGTTGGGTATATCGGGTCAGTTTAATTTTCCTCTTCTAGATGATCACTTTGTGATCGAGACACGTGTCGAGATGTTAAAAAAACGGTTAGGTGTTGGGATGAAACTCCAGTAATATTCATTACGACATCAAAGGTTCCCATGCCCTACCTTGAGAAGTGACCCATTTTTGTTTTTGTTTTTTTGGTTTTGTTTCCATCGTGAATAGAAAAGAAAGTATGTGTAAATGATATTTCAACAATAGAAATGATAATAAAAGAACTCAAGGACGCCTGGATCAACTTTTATGATGTTTGTCTTTTTAGATTTGTCTTCGTCGGAAATAGGATGATAAATATCGAAATATTATATTTTATCAATAATAATAAATGAACTCAAGAACAACTGGGCCATCTTTTATGATTTTTGTCTTTTTGGATTTGTCTCCGTCGGGAATAGAAAAATAATGAAGGAAGTCAAGAACGGCTGGACCAATTTCTATGATTTTTGTGTTTTTGGATTAGTATTGAAATATAATATTTCATCAGTGAAAGTGATATCAATAATGATAATAGCGACGAATTATAACGAAACGCAACTGATAGCTCATATGTATATCAGAGGGTGCTTTACTGAAGAAACACTCTCACTATTATACTAAATAATTCTATATCAATTTTAATATCCTAAATTTGCTCATTCATTGATTGTTTGGCGGGATCCGCCAAAGCGACTTTCCGGTTCCTTCATATTTCAAGAACTTTTTTCAATTCGACGGTGTTTTTAACCTTCTTGGACGGGGCCGAAGATATTTTCCTTCATACTGAATATAAAATGTAATGCTATGAATCATTCATATGGATTTTGAAGTGGCTTCTTATTTCCTCCATATTTCAAGAATGTTTTTTAATCCGGGGTGTGTTTCACCCCCTTGGACGGGGCCAAAGAGAGATTTCTTGATACAGAATATATAGTATAGCTGTATACTTCCACATAAGGGCATATCAGAAACCCAAAAAACATGTAATCACGATTTCGGTACGCCACTGACCTTCGGGTATTTCCGTAGAAAGAGCTGCTGACTTTTGCTGCTAACTTCACATCGGTACATTTTTCTAGATATCATTCCGGATCGAATGAGCCATCGTACGTATTTTTTCGACCATTATCTATTTTTCACCGTTTTCAACTTGTGAACTAGACTAAAATAACACGTTTCAAAATTTGCAGATAAACTCGATAGGAAGATGGTACAAGCCCTGGTTTTTTCTTCACGCGAAGAATTTGTTCAACAAAAATAGTATAACTACTGAATACATTCCACTGAGGGATTACTACCACAGACATACCAGGTCTATATTCTGGGAGCTGCAGGTAAACACTTGTTCGAAATATTTATGTCGAATACCTGTATCTTTCGGTTTCCGGTTTTATTTTCAGTGAGCGGCTATAGCTTTTTGAAAGAGATGATAACATTTCATTTAATTTAGTCACTAACATGCATCATGCATTCATTCACCCACGATGAACATAATGATGGATTCATTGACACAATGTTCGAAAAAAGGAATGCACGAATGAATGAACCGGAGTTGTTTTTGTTTTTATTTTCAAAGGGAGAGTTACTGGGTTCCTTTCATCGTTCAACGTAATACATCCCACCATAAGACTATTCAATAGAAATGTTATGATGTTATTAATTATTACGGAAGATTAGACTTGAGGTATTCAGACATATATGGAAGAAGAATTGATTTGAAAAATATGATACGAAACCGTCTGACTGTCCTATTCTCTAGACAATCGTATTTACCAACTTTGCTATCGGAGTCACGAAGAAAAACGACAGCCAACTCACATCTTCAAGTCAGACTTCCGTGGTATAGGTGCGAAGAGGATGGAAATTTATTAATTGTAGTGAACTCGACAACTAAAATTTATGCATCTAAACAATAATTATTTATTTCATTCTAGAATTACATAAATACACACAATGCAAACTTACTTCTCTTGTATTTCGTTTTGGTTCATTTTATGCATTGGAAATCATATAAAATCCTGATGACGGTCCTTGATATTTTAGTGATTCTTGAATAAAACAACAAATTGATTTTTGGATCCAATGAACAGTACTAATTATCATAGTACCACGGCTTCATGAATACTGCCTTACTTTGATGTTTCTCAAACGAAGTATCGTCACTCTTACCGGTCTCCTGATAGTGCTGCTTAGTAATTCTCAATCAACTGACTGATCATTCGAAAGGTTATCACACTCTCCCAAATTTCAAGTGGAAACTGAAAATATACTTCTAAGAAAAATGTATTTTCATACTATAGGTAGTAATGTTGTATATTCTGTAATCTTTTTAATGTTCATGTATATACTAAACATTGTGATGTATCTTTGTCTACTGGATCATTAATGTAAAATTTACTATCATTAAGAAGATATAAGATTGTTATCATCAATGTCGCCACAGTTTCACGTATTTAATATTTGTCATGGACTTCTTGGTCAAATGACAGCTCACTTCGGATCAAAATTACAAACTGGTTAGTACGGCAAATGCTAACGTGTTCCATTTTTGGTTCGAATAAGGCGCCTGACCAACAAATGTTTTGAATAATAGTAAACTATTTCTTTTGACTTCCGTAGATTCAATCTTATCTACTTATGGTTTTATGGAAAACTTTTAGACAACTCAGTATTTCATTTGGAATTTTTGATTATTGAATCATGTTATCAATCAACATATCGATCATTTCGTATTATTTTAGGACATCATACCTTTTGGCAACAACCCCATCTTCAGATTTCTTCTAGGTTGGTTGATGCCTCCAAAAATCTCATTGCTAAAGCTCACTCAAACCAAAACAATCACAAAACTCTACGAGAACAATCATATAATCCAAGATATGCTTGTGCCAATGGAAACTTTGGAGGATAGCATACGAATGTTCAAAAAGTCCGTCGACGTGTTTCCCATTTGGTTATGTCCATTCATTCTACTCCCCAATAAAGGAATGGTACATCCAGTCTGTACAGATTCTGCCAACATGTATGTGGACATTGGAGTTTATGGTGTTCCTGGAGTCGAGAATTTCCATCCGGAAGAGACAACGAGACAAATCGAAACATTCGTCAGAAACGTCAAAGGGTATCTATTTCATTTTAATCATTTCATTATCATTCTGAAAATGTTCGCAAACTCAATTTCAGATATGTCAAAAGTCTCCATAAATTCAGTTCTTCAAAATGAAATATTGAAAGTCAAAAATTGAATATAGTTCACGTCTGAATCTATTTCAATTGATGTCATTGAAGCAGATGATATAAGGTTCGTAGATCACGCAATTCTCTCCAAAAAATGTTCTGATACTTCTTTCCCAATTATAATATTTTAAATAATCTGTCATTTTCTAATTTTGTCAGTTCATTTCACCTTCAGAAACATGTGACAAGAAAATCACTCGTTTTCTGAATGACTTGAATGAAATAAGTAAGAAACAGAATCCAGGACGTATAGTCTGGTCTCTATATAGTGGTGGTAAAACTAGATATTTCGCCAACAACTGCAGTGAGCATCTTTAGCATAGATGAACGGTGTAAAAAGGCTCTTTGAATGGAGTGCGGGAGAATTTATGAAGGAATTGGAAATGACTGAAGTAAGTAACTATTGAAACTATTCTTCAATTTTGATTTGCACTTTCGCATTATTTTCCAAACTTATCACGTGTTTGCTTCATTTGTGATGAAGCAAATGCTCTGCAACAAAGAGCAGACATATGTGATAATCCATGTTCAGTTCATATCGGAAGAGTATCACTACTACAGTTCAAAGACAGCATGAGATAAAGAACCACTATATCAATAATAAATTCACTTCGTATTAAATGAAGAGCAAGTTATAGCTGAAATGTTTTGAAAAATCGTCACATATGTTGTAGCGGCTAAAGAAACGAAGAGGCTGAGATGAAAAAAGCATTAAACCGAAGGCATAAAATATATCCAGTTGCTGGAATCGCATTTCAATATTCTATTCTAACAGTAGTTCCAAATCGAACAAATATCGAAAATAACATAATCTTGACAAGATTTATTATTACAGGAACTGATAAGTTTATTATGAATTTGCTTCACGGACTCCCAATACGATACAGTAGTGTGAAAAAACATTAAATAAAAATTGAGTTAGAAGAAGAAAAATTAGTATCCATCATAGATTTCCTGATAGGTGGTATAGGAATGTATATACATTGAGCTTTTCTGACCATTGGATTAGAAATATCTTCCGAATGCATAAAAGAATCTGAACACTTTTTGTAGATAGTCGCATTATCTACACATTTTATTTGATACATCGATTGAAACTTTCGACATATCATTTGAGTTTTGAATGTTCATCTTTATGCGAATTTGTTCAAGTTTTAATTTGTATTCTGACAAGGATATTATACAAAATTTGTACTTCTTCAATTGCACAAAACCAAAATCGAATTTTCACAAGCCATTTTTCAATGGCTTATGAAAATTCCAGCCTCCAATATAACTCACGCGATTACCGACATAATTGTACAATACATTTAATATATTCACACGAGTTCATGACCCATCAATTTGTATGTGTTACATCATTCAACTGCGAATAAAGAGTACACGAATTAACAGCTTCCATATTTTACTCATGTCTTCCTCAAAAGGAAAATCTTCCACATTTGAAGGGTGGAATTAGGATCTTAATAATTTAGGAAATATAAAGAAAAATATTAGACATTGAGATGATAGAAAACATTTTTTTCACTTCCTTTCATCTGAAAGACAGTTGGCCAGGTTTTTCCTTTTGCAATTTGTTTCTTGTAATAAAACTGCTCGAAAAACATTTCATTTTTGGTTTGATCTAACCAACGAAACGTCCATCATCCACTCAAATTCTACTGAATATTTTGATGTGTAACTATTGTGTTTATGCCAGAATTGAAAATTAAAAAACAAAGCTGAGAAATATCTCGAACTGACACGTTTTTCCACAAAAGACCCCAAAAATGCTAATATTCCTATTTATTGCACGAATCGACAACTGAATAACAATTATCGGTTCTGTATTGTTCACAGGTTCCAAATGCTCTATGCTGATACATACATGACGAAAGAAGAATTCAGACAGATGTTTGATCACAGTCTGTATGATAAGTTGAGAAGTGATATGAAGTGTGGTGACGCTTTTCCAGAAATATATGACAAAATATCGAAGGCAGTTAGATCTTGATAAAAAATAAACATTCCTCTCTTCTATACCTTATGTTTTAAATAAACTTGTTTTTGATGATTTCTATTGTATTTAATTTGATTCTTAAAAATATCTACTGACATAAGTGTAAAAATCCACAGATTGAAAAATTTATAGAAATAAAAGTCCATCGCTTGCATTACCTCCTTCAAGGAAATGTTCAACTGTATATTTTCAATATTGTATAAGAGTAGCTAGCTATCGTTGTTGGTAAAAACTGGTTGTTTTGAAATAATCAACTAGAACATATGAAATCTCTGAAAATCGGAGATTTTTCAATGGTCTTCTCCGAACATGTCTAATGCAAATGTTAGAAAGGAATGTCTTGGAGGACAAATTGGATTCTGCCTATTTCTGTCTCAATTCCCCATTCACTCAGTATTGGACTACATTGGAAAATATTTCGGATGAATATGGAAACTATCGTGCACTGCCAATTAGTATAATAGCTACGGAAGTCCATTTTTTGAGTTAAAATCCTTCAAATATGTTGGAATATAATGACAATTAACATTTCAACCTCAATACTTCATTCTAGATCAAATCAGATTCTTATCACACTTTAGCTGGCATGAGTTCTGACTGTTAACTTAGATTCTTGGTGGAATCAAATTTGCTAAATCACTTGAACACTTCCCATGAAAGTATCTATCCCCAACATCTCTTAGATGTTCCAGACTATCCAAGCTGCGAGTGAAGTTCGCGTCTCCAATCAGGCGGATGGCTCTTTTCTGGATGGAATCCAGTAGCTTCAGGGTATGCTTAGGGGCAGAGCTCCATACATGAGAAATATACTCCAAACATGTCCTGATCTAAGCTTTATAAAGCATCAAAATTTGCTGAGATGTGTACAGTTTTCTGGTTCGGAACAAGATTTAAGAAGCAGCCTATACAATTCCAGCGACATGCTCATGTCAAGTAATAATCGTGTTCATTTCAACCCATAACAAACTTATCGAAACAGAAAGCGAAATTGCCTATCCTGACATGATTATATCCGATTCGGAGACAATTATCTTTTTGGAGAAAACCGATGCCTGGATTTTTATGGCATTGAAATGAACCTTGTTAGTTTGACCCCAATTCGAAATCACTTCTAGAACCTCCTGCTGCTGATGATGATGTGCATCCGTTATGTTTATTTCTTCATTAAATACAAATAAACTATGAATTTTGTAGAATGAAATAAATACTGTGAGGCATGAAATCAACATTTCGGTAAATTTTCCAGCTGATTAAGGTGTATCGTAGGGTTCAAATCCAGGTCCTCTTTCATTTTCTCTCTATGAATCATCAGATATGAAATATTCTGAATGTTTTGCTGTTTGGGAGCCAATTGACTGAAAATCTTCCCCAATAATGACTATAACAAATTTTATGTATGAAAATAGAGTATCTTCACAGACTGTCTTCATCCTAGAAAGTTATCTTCATCATATATCAGGTTGTTTCGAAAGTTTTGTTTGTTTTTATGAGTTATATCTCAGTGAATACTCAGCACATCTCAGGGAACAGGAGAAGAAAATGCAGTGACAAGTTCAGCAATTAGCAATGTATTACTCCTGAAGATTACATCCTCTCGTGTTAGCAACAAGATGAAGAAACACTCGAATAGATTATGGTCAACTATACCAAAAAATAGCATCAAAATTTACCGTGACTACTCAAATCCACATGTAAGTATTCTTCATGTCGCAAGACCGTATTTATATTCTTCCGGTAAATATAAAGTAAACTACTATCAATGGATGGATATTCCAAAGTTCACTGAATTTTTTATTGAAATTTGTTTGACCTCAAACAATCAAAAGTGGTTTCAAACTTTCATATAAGACCTCTGTCACGAAAAGTTCCTTTCCTGATCCTAACTCCACTGAAGTTGCATCAAAGTTCTACAATTCACTTGTTTCGATGTTCTGTTAAGCGGCTCGCATACCTGAGCAACTAGCAACGGGCAACAAGCATCAAGCAATATTATTGTCAGTATGCATGTTATATTTGGTTTTCAAATATAAGCTTTTTAAAAACAATTTATTTTGGTTCACAAATACAAATACAATTATTGAACTTCATGAGCTAAAGTGAATTATACGAGTAATAATAAATTATGAACTGGAAGTCCTTTGTGTTCTATTTCTAGACTGGTAATACAGGAAATGCTGAGTCTTTGGTGATTTCAAGGTTCTTCTATAACTGCGCCATTAATACAACGTAGTTCTGGATAATGAGCCATTGTATAATTTCATATAACAGCTCCCCTTTTTATGAAAAAGTTTATGCTATACCTTGCAGCAACTTTTCAGGCATAATTCTTGTTAGAATTTGAGTTGGGTTTGATTTCTTCTTCGACGGGTTCTCCGATATGATAGCTAGGTCTTCTTCTAGGGAAGAATCTGGTTATAGCTCTGAATTTACTTCGCGTACTTGGTGCTGGAGGTGGTGGTCCATCATTTCTTGATGTCATAATACCAATTCTTATATTTCTATTATTTCTACATTTACAAAAACAATGTAATATAATCAAAAAGATTACAAGAGCAATTGTTACATAGGTAAACCATGAAATATGTTTTGAGACGAAAGGTTCATTAATCAATTTATCTAATTGATCAGAATATTCATTTAATTTGAATTGAGCTGTATTTAAATCTTGCAATTTGCAGTAAAAATCCTGCCAAGAAGTATATCAATATTCCGAAATTAAATATATGATTGAAATTATCCCATAAAATGGTCGAATTTATTTGTAGAACTCAATCATAAATTTTACACTCGCCAACTGTCGTTGATTCATTCGTCGCTCAGCGAAAGATTTTTTATTTTATCGGTATTTCTTTAGCGCGGAAAGATTACTACTTGGAAAAACTACTGTGAATTGAAAGGTAGTTGAATAAAGGGCTTTCCAAATATTTGCGGATTAGAAATTTCATCAGATTTTGCCTCGGAAATAGAAAACCAAGGAATAACAGAACTCAACCTGGATGTGAAAAAATTTGCACTACCTAAATCTACATTCAACTCTCTCCACGTTATCTGTATCGTTCTCTAAAACGAATTATATACCAATGGCTTGCACATACTTTTCCACCACTAGGACTGATAAATATCTTTCTCACCTGGACTGTACATTTTCAGGTATTCTGGGGGTGCCAGAGTTTTATCCATTAGTATCCCTAATTTAATACGTTTGCACTTACATTTTTCCATAACATACCAAATATACCAACATACCAAATAGGAAAAAATTTCATAAGTTACATCACGTCTTCATTCAAAAAACGTATCTTGTTTGAAAAATACAAATACTTCACAGAAATAATGAAAATTAATAATTCAATTCTGAAATATTAATGAAAAATTTATAAAAAATCAATTTTACATAACTTACCGCATAACTCAAAACAAGGTTGATCATTCCTTCAACGCCCTCTCCCTGCTTCCCGTTCAGAGGATACCAATCCTCATGAGTCTCTCCAGCAAGTACTTGTTGGGGAATTACTATTTGTGTCCATGCTACTAATTCATCCATTGTGAAGGATCGTTCATCAAATATTTCTATGGTCAGTGTGTTTATGCCTTGAGGAAGAAGGCTGAAAAAGATTCATTCAGTAAACCTTGAAATAATATGAAGAGGATATAAAGCTCTTCATATTTTGCGGAAGGATTATCTCAAGATTTTCTTCAACGTATAATTGTAGGAAACGTTAAGATCAATCTTTATATACAAACAACCCAGGACCCGCAACCACGTTTTTATGATTGAGATAATGAACTATTTGAACATATGAAAAACAATAATTCTAGAATTAAAACACATTTCTTCTAACTAACCAGTAGTAAATGAAAAAAATAACTACAGGGCCTCTTAACTGCACTGTTTATATTCATCATGTGTTCCTTTTACTCATAAAAATACCAATATATTTACAACACCATCATCTTCTAATATTTCCACAAATCATATTAGGTGGATAGCGCTAGTACTACTTGAAACGTCAATTAATGCAACTCCATTGAAATATCTATCACATTTTGTAAATTTTATTTTAGTTTTGGAACTGATAGATGTATTTTATATCAGGTATCTATTTCTCTAGTATACGAATTATTTATCAGGTTTTACCTCTAAAATTTTTATTTTTATGGTACTATAATAGAATAATTGATTTGATAATCTTCCTCGCCTTTCAGATCTGAGTAATTGTGTTCGATCAATCAGGGAATGATACGGAATTATAACTACCACATATAATTTCATGTGTTGTTAAAGATAGTGAAGTAAAAATTATCAAAAGATTTTATGAAACGTAAAAAGATTTTGTGAATTTTATTGAATATTTATCAATTTAAAAAAAATGGTTGTATCTGTATTCTTAAAAGCTAAATTAAGAGAACATTGCAAGCACATAATATGGGCACATAATAATATAAGGTTAATGAATGCAAGTTTCTAAACTTTCACCAAAAACAACAAATTTTGCAAAGAAAAAAATTTTATATTATATGGTTGGAACTCCGGAACCTACAAATTACATAACCCGGCAAGTAACTGAAAATAAAATACATCTTCCTGTTCCAAAAACAAGCCAGACAAAGTATTCTTTAATTTATGAAAGTAAAAAGCTGTATAATCACATACCTTAAGAAATTAGGAAGGAAAAAAGCTATAAAGAGTTGCAACTAAAGCGTACTACAATTCTGATGAATATTACAATATTTAATATAGGTGTTTTTTTTGCTGTTTATATTGACACCTATACTTGCAACTAAAGCGTACTACAATTCTGATGAATATTACAATATTTAATATAGGTGTTTTTTTTGCTGTTTATATTGACACCTATACTTTAAATTATATTTTATACTGGGATATATCTTATTTTATTGCCATGGCATGTGAACTTATGTTCAAATTGTATATATTTGTTATTTACATCTTTTGAAAGGGACTATACAAACTATTTTGTCTACATTTTGTTAAATTTTATTTTCTATTGTTATATTTTATCGATTAGATAAATATCCTATTGTTCATCAAT